GTGCGTTTCTATAAGTCTTCCTACCAATATGACCAAGTTGCAAAAACAAGGTCAAACAACTTCTATACAATGAAATGAGACTGCGACCACACAAAGGCCACACCATCTTGGTCTTTATATCTTCGATAAAATTAAATAATCGTGATTAAATTCTCCAGCTTGCAAATTATTTATTTATAAAAAAATTATTTTCTGAAAGGGCTTTTCTGTCTTAAGTCGGTGCTATTTGTTAGCTTATTTTTCAATCCTGATATCAATCTCTTGTGTGTATATTTTAGGCTTCGATACAACCTCTGGTTATCATCTCGTCTATCCTCAAACTTTATACTCTTATCTTATACTTCCGGGATTGACTAGGGGTTTTCGAATTGACGCAATTCTAACCTAAATAATAAAGATATAATTACACAGAAGTGGCTTATTCGAAAAGCGCATACCCAAATGAAGGTCCCCCTAACAATATTTCCGGGCAAATAAATTAATATCTTTGAAATTTGATAGTTTCCTTATCTGATTTTTAAAATACACTTATCATATGCTGGTAATGAAAACGTGCGCTTTTGCCATATAATTCTTCTTAGATATGCGGCCATAACAGTACCATTGCTTTATTACTAAAGTCTTTTAAGTTCATTTGATAGATAGTAATTTAAATTTGGAGGTAGGGTCGCACTAATAAGATACTTTTATTACGTCACTGACAGAATATTTAATAATTTATGTACTCTTCTTTATCTGTATGGTTATTGTCCTTATTTACTCGTAATTCTTTTTAATCATGTTCATATGATTCTTTTTATCCCATGGATTAATAAATTTGCTAACATATATATATCTTTCTTACTATTATTTGGTCAGTCATCATATTATCCTCTGGTTACTCTGCCAACTGGGCCTCTACGCTATCATTCTCCTAACTGCGCAGATCTTCTGGTGCAGCTTCATATTGCATCTTACTCTGATTGCATTTGCTTGGTTATGTTTCTCTTGGAACGCCGCTTGCTTCTATCTTGACTACTTTGTTCGTTGCCCCAAGTCCCTTGAACTGTCGGTTAAGCCTGCAGCATCTAGACCTTCCTGCTTCGAGGTGGAATCACAGACTAGTCCTTTAGTCTACAGCCAACTGGGTGTTGGAAGACGGATAATCCAAGTCCCCGAACCTCCCGATTTGCCTTCTTCATTCGGTGATATTACTAATACGGCCCAGCCAGATGACCACATAGAACACGCCATAAATCATGTCAGCTTTATCGAGAACCATGACATACATACCCATTGGCTGACCTCGTGAGTGGTCATTTTCTAACAAAATTTGCTAGTCGAGATCTAAGCTGTCTCTGGAATGCCGCCAAATTGATGAGTCATTTCAAAATGGACTATTATGTCAGGGTCCCCTGGCCTGAGCTCCATAGAGGAATACAATTTTACTAGAATTTCTTACATTTTTAATCTCCACAGCAAGTATTCATCTTTGCTCCTATGCTTGATTTTTTCACCTCTGAAATTCGCGGTTAAATTCCGCTGCTCACTGACTTTCATATTTTTTTACCTACCTCATTAACACTTGACCTAATAGTCTGCTCATGAGTAAATTAAACAGTATGTATCTAAATGCATTAAATCTCACATTCACAATAAAACTGTAATTGTATATTTGATATCCACAGCTTTATAAAGCCGACATAGCATTATATTTCTTATACATTATCTGCGTATTTACAATTTTCTCCATCGTGCCGCATCATCATTATTGCTAATTCACTTTTTCCTTGAATTGTGTCAGCGGCTTTAGACCTTCATTCCCTTAGCTTATATACGAAGTAATGTGAAATTATTTAGTATAGGAAGGAATCTTTGTCAAATTTCATAAATTTATGTATATTGTACTTATTTTATTCGATTCTAATCATGTGAGCTTGTGATGAATTCTTTGCATATGTCAATTTAAGATGAATCAGAAAGTGAAGCGCGATTCAATCTTCTTTTTAATCTCTCATTTCTTACTTAATCTTCTGATTGCACTAAGAAGTTTTCTTCAGCCTCGTTCCATATAAGCACACTGTTTCGAAAACGACTTGTAAAACAGTGCTACTAGATTTTATTGCTTTGTACTCCACACAACAATTCAATGACTGACCAAGTTGTCTTAAAATCAGGGCTTTTTTCGAATGA